CCCCACCGCGCCACGCCCAATATGCGAGGGGGATCGGCGGATATACATGTACGCGCGGGATATTCCACGCGCATCGGGATCAAAAAAAGATTTGGCGGGGAACACTACACCACCCGTTGCGCCGGTGATGGCACACTACGACGGCTGGCTCGCAACCCTTGCAATAAAACTCTTCTTCGGCTTTTAATTACGGGAAAGTGGCAATAGAGGCACTCTAGAGTGCTGCTCGGGACGGGGACGTGGACGTGACGAACTCCACCCCAGTCACACCGTCTCCCCAGTCACGGCGGCGAGGCCCGCTGCACATTGGAATACATATTTAACGAGATTTTTTTAAAACCCTCAAGTTAAAAAAAAGAAGAGAAGACAATGGCTGTAATTATTTTCCCCCTGCGGACTTCTGCATTCGGCATAACGGACGACAAGGGATTCCATCACGGAAGAAAATGCATTCTCATTATTGTAGCTGTTTTTTTTTCGCCCTTGCCTCCCTCCGCTGCTATGCTCTCCTTAGATGAGCAATGCGTTTGCCAAGAAGGAGAAGAAGTAATTTTTTTTTCTCTGCGGCACTGCTGCTGGAAGACAAGCAGTAGTCGTATTGATTAATCAGGGTGAGACAAAGCCCTGTGCACCCCTGTGGCACCCAGAGCTGCACCCCTCACTGCACCCCCCCCCCTCCCTGCCCCTCGAGCGCCACCCCACGGCTAACCACCCCTCGCAATCCTTTTTTATATCACCCCTCTCATTTCCCCTCGCCTCCCCACCCCCTCGCTCTCTTCATCCCTTGCTTGCCTCCTTCTCACTCCCGCAGTCGGCTATCCGCGCTCCCCACTCACTTTCTCTCTCTCTCACTTTGTTCTTCCCTGTTGTGTGGGTGGCAGGCGTTTTTTAGTCGCTCTTATACTTCCTCTCTCCAGCCCTTTCCTTCCCCTTTCTCGGCACCCTACCCACCCTTCTCTCTCTCTCTCTCTCTCTCTCTCTCTCTCTCTCTCTCTCTCTCTCCCTCTCTCCCTCCCTCCCTCTCTCCCGTAAGGCCACTACAGCGCTATACGTTTTGAGGAGACCCAAATTACTCCCCGTTCGCTTTTGATCTGTCATTCATAACATTCATAACTCCAGTTGCGAAGCCGAGGTGTACTACTGAGGTAGGAAGA